ATTTCTCCACCATTCATTGCTTTCAGCTGGGCCATTAAAAATATATCTTGTTCAGATCTAGAGAGAGCTTGAAACGCCTCACGTAATTCAGCAAACTCTTCTCTCGAAATCTTTTTTGAACAACCACAATTACAACCTATCTCTAAGAAACGTATTGCTTTTTCATATTCAGTAGAACTGTTGTAATTATTATTATTATTCATATACAGGTAATCCTATATATAAATTTTAATAGCAATTTGCAGGTGTGTGTGAATTTAAGGCTTAATTTTTGGCCACTGACTTTAAGCATATTTATTAAAACTTGTAGACATTTGATAATTTCCACTTACATTTGAAAAAACATGAGTCCACTCTCATCATGCATTGCATATAAAGCCTACTACTAATAAAAATAGCACACAAATAATAGAAGACTACATTGAATTTGACTTAATTCGAAATATCACTAGAGTATGAATAATACAAGCAAAGAAATGAAGATAATCTACCATTATACTATTTATTGATTACGACGTGTTTGCGCACTTCAGAAAGCTACTGTTAAACTGGATAATTCTCTTAAGATAACGAAATATATAATGAAATTAGAATGAAAAATAAAAGGTTGTTACTGGTCTAAGCTTTCATCCACAACATTATGAGTAAGACAAATATTTTTGAGCATATATTCATCATGCTCCATAAGGATGGGTTGTAGAGCTTTTGCAGTAGGATGCCGATAGATTGCAGGGTTGATTGATATAGGATAACAAACTTCCCCAGCTACACCAGCCCAATCCCAATCAATAAAAACAACGTTTGCCTTTGCATCTTCTTTGCAGACCAAAATGTTCTCTTTTCGTAAATCACCATGCACATACCCAAGGTTATGTAACTTCCTCAACACATTCCACAGTTCCTCACTAATATGTGCAGTAATAGAGCTATTACTATCTGACAGAGCATAAAACCCAGTCATATGAGCCATGACCACCATGAACCATCCGCCTGGTAGTTTTTCAAAACCGTAGAGTGTGGGTGCAATATCAGCATCTGCACATGCTTGGTGGATATCTTTGGGGTATTGTTTAGTGAATTTGACAAACAGTCTTTGTGGCAGACCCTGTAGATGTTCAAGCATCTCAACAACGAAAACTAATGGATGAAACTCCAAGTCATGGAGGTATTGGAAATAGATTTTTTGGCCTCATATGCCACTGTACAACATTGTGAAATAATTTGGATATGGGAATTCTCGCTGGCTCAGGTGAATTTTTTCTGGTGGGCCATTATAGTATTTCTGCAGGTTCTTAATAGCATTACCAAGGGCATTGAAGATATGAGCAAAGTCCTTCAACCAATCAGATGAGCAGGCTAAGGAAAGGGTGAAATGATATGGATCGATGGTAATCTTGTTGCTGAGTATGACTGTTGATATATTCAATTCTGGCCCATAGACTTGAATGAGAAAACAAGGGAGCCTGGTCGTCTTGGCAAAATCCTGGTTTTGGATGAGATATTGTTTGTAATAAGCTGCATTTTGAATATGCGGGTCACCACCAGCACCAGGTTCTTTCTTTACTTCAACATTAATCCCTATAAAATCGTTTTGCTGATTAGGGTACCAAGCTATATTCATTTACTCTTACGCGACGTCTCGGCTCATCTTTTCTGCCAACCTACAACCTTGAAAAGATCACCAATCACTCGTTATGCAAGTTTGATGAAGTTGCAGGGATTTATATCAAGGACTCGAGTTGACGTCATGTATTGAGATGATTCATAAACAATCGTATCGTAGACTGGCAATTTCCAAAACTTCTGGTTAACATTAGACGTGGACTCAACGCACACTGCCCTTAGTTACTACTATCACTCAGCCATAATACCTTTTGTTAAAAAAAAACAACATGCTCTTGACCTGTTGGGATGAGAATCGAGGTCAGCCTATTGTTTTTTGACTCTTAATTGGTATTAAATAGCACAAATTCTAGCACTTTCATGAAAGTCTCACCAGATTATAGCATATTCCTGCTGTAACCGAACCGCGTTACACTATAAACGCGTCTCTGAGCCCTGCACTATCGTAGATTTTATTATAGCTGTTGCAATGTTACCATTTCTCTTTGCACCCGAAGGAGAATTGGTTTGAGTACATGATGTAAATGAAAGCCAATTACAAATACTGTATTTTCCATACTAGAAAAAGGGTTAAGTGAAGCTTTATTGTTTCCATAATAGGCTGAGTATCCGCTGCCTCAATTTATATTGTCAGCTAGCAATATTATGGAAAAGAAATCGCCAATTCTTTCACTTCATACACATATACTGATCGAAAAAAGTCTACTTTTAGGTTATCCGAAATTAGTTTAATTAGCACAAAGTGGACACTATATAAAATATACTACACGATAGACCCGGGTCCCAACTGAATTAATATCTTCTACCTGCACACAATAGAATTTTATATTCACTTTTATACCAGCATCAGAAAACCTAAATCAGAATACTCATACACGGATTACTCAGGAAGAAATAATAATGACATGATTATATATCCGAATGAATAAGCAGATGGCGTTATCAACTATGTTATTACTCTTCTCAGGAGGAGAGTCATAAAATTCATCGTCCTAAACATAGGTATATAACAGTGTATCTCATGAAATCGTTGGATAAATACACGTATTCCGTCTGTGATTGTCAAAAAATAAAAAAATAAAATAACGCTGGAGATTATGTAGAAGTAAATATTCGAAGTTGTCTAGTTGTTTCGTTAGTTAATGCCACACAATTCACGATAACAATTTCTTTACCCAAATCGTCGGAAGTAAATTACCGGTAGTTTGAGTAATTTATCAATAATTAGTAATGCAAAGTTTTATAGGTTAAAGTTTGACGTAACCTATTACTATACTTGAGATGCCTTCATGCTATCGTAAGTAATTAGGCATAAAAGATTCGAAATATTAATACATTCACCTTTTTTATTTATTTGTTTGTTTTTACGGTATAGTAAATTTCTGCCTTCATCATTTGATCCAAAATCTAAACCCGATCTGTGTTGATGCGTTTTCATTCGCTGTATGTGCATATCTTTTTCCATAAGTAATTTCGCCACTAACCTTCAATTACCTTTTCTAGTAATAGTAACTTTCTCGTGGAGATCATTTACGACCGTTTTTATAATACCGACCGTTATGCATACTGCATAACGGGGGAAAAAAGATTGTCGATATCGCAGCAATTCCCATCATTTTTGGATGTACAAAAGTCATCAAATACTTCACTAAAAAAGTTTACACAAAAATAACGAATAGTGATCTGGCGGTAGTACAAGTGTGCGTTGTAACACAATAAATGTTCCGAGCGTTGTTGCTTGGAAAATCATTCAAACTATGTCGTCCGCTCCAGGTGTTGTTAAGGATATTCATAATCCAGCAATTGAAAACTTGATTCAATCCTCCTTGGAA